AAATAAACTTTGTATTGAGCATATAAGTACTAAGAATATGCTTGCGGATCCGATGACTAAAGGTCTCCCTCCTAAGATTTTCGAAGAACATGTTTCGAAGATGGGGTTATCTAAAGACCTTATTTAGTTGCATATTGTACTTGCTTACATTTAATAATAAAATTTCCTCATTGTTTTGTTTGTTTTGTCTCTGAATGTGTCTACGCATGCCTAAAGACATATAGACAACATTTATCTACAAAACAATCTTATGGGCTTAATTGTCAATTTGATCCTTAGCTTATTTAAGTTTTAAATTTGGTATTGTAGTATGATTAATGGGGGTCTTGAATTGAATATCGATTCTATGACTGTATTTCTCTGCTACAATTTCGGTTTAGAACTAAAATGAGTATTAAAATCTGATCAGACTTATCTAATACTCATCATAAATGATTACTCGTCCAAGTGGGAGAATGTTGGACACGTTTTTATTATGTGGCCTGAGTTATCATTTATCTAATTAATTGATCATTGACATAATAAATAACCTACGTGTTTATTTGGTAATTATTCGATGAACGTAATTACCCTTATGACATAATTAGGGTTTCCCCTTGGGTGTATATAAATAGAGGTATTAGGCAGAGATCGACACACCAATCTTACGCCTCCTCTCTGCCTCTCTATTCTCGTGAGTCTCATCCTCACCTTAGCCATCATAACGATACACCCTAAACGGGAACTCAATCTACGTGAGAATCATGGCATCATCCCTAATTGCGTTTACAGGATTATCAGGTACACATGATTAAATCCCTAATTTATATTTTATATTTAAGAATTGATCAACATAATTAACCGGTTTTCAAGACTCCAAATTGGGCGGTTCTCTTCTCGCGTACCGAACCGTGTGTCGTCTCAGCCACAGCTGATAAATCAACACGTGGAAAGCATCGTACGGCTGAGCTTCCGCGTTCCACCGCAAATGGTGGGCCGCCGAAACACACGATCTCCTCATTCTCCCGTAATCCTCCTCCGTCACGCCACGTAGCAGTCTCTTCAACCCGCTCGCCCCGGCGGTGGGTCCCACCAGCACCGTCATCTCCCCCCATCTCAGGACGTCCATCAGCGGCAGGTCCTGAATCGGACGGTCCACGATCACCGCCGGCACGCAGCCGTGCGCCATCGCCTCCGGCAGCCACGAAACGCCGCCGTTGTAAAGGAAGACGCAGAACTTGCTGCTCTTAACCCTGCCGAGATGATCCGACGGCTGAGATTCGATCACGAACTCGCCGTCCGATTTCAAATCCTCGACCAGCTCCTTCTCCGTCTTCCCGTCCCACTTCAGGTATCCGAGGAACTCCGCCGTTCCGTTCCGCGGCGCGTGAGGGAGCGACGGAGGCGCGTGCGGGAGGAAGGTGACGTCCTTGTGCGGGATGAAGCGCCCGGAGACGGTCGGGAAAATTGAGATCTGCACGGAGTTCTTCTTCAGCTCGAGAATGTTCCGGTCGGCGGAGAAGTCGATTCCGGAGGGGTGGACGAAGAAATGGTCCGCTCCGAGGGTCCGGTTCCAGAACGGGAAATTCCACCGGAGCTCGCGAACCAGACGCGCCAGAGAGCGCGTGGAGATGTCGGGGGGAAAGGGAATGAAGAAAAGGTGAGCTTCATCGGCGTCTGCCGTCAGAAACGGGCTGTGAAGGAGGGCGGCGTGGAAGGAGGAGGAGGGCGTGGCGGTGTAATTGAAGGGTTTTTGCGGGGCGTAAGTGAAAATCTTGAAAGTTGATAGCATCCTTTCGTAATTCTTGAAGAAGGTAGCGGGGGAGAGGTACGGGGAGGCGGCGGAGATAGATCGGGGGGCGGCGAGAGAGAGAAATGAGAGGAAGAGAAGGAAATAAGTGGCCGCCATTGTTGAGCAAAGTTTGAGGTTTACTTGCAGGTACCTGAGGTATTAGTCAAAAATCGAAATTTCTCAAAGTTTTTAGGCGATTGACAATTATACCCTTCTTCCCTTCTTCTTTTCTATGTGTACATTTTGTTTACTAGTCAAACTTTGACTAAATATTCTTATAAAAATTATTAAGAAAAGTAAAAATCTAGGGATTATAATTATTACTCTTTATGTATATGAGGAAATTTACTTATATAATAGGGAGTATTAAAATATAATGAGTTTTTTTAATGTAACATTATACGGAGAACTATCTCTGTCCCTGAATATTTGTCTAATTTTAACTTTTTTTTAGTCAACTATTTTCAACCTTTGACCAATAATTAGATAAAATATATATTATATTTTAATTAAATAAACTAATATTTTGAAAATATTTGATATAATAAACACAATAAAACTCTTTTGGTATCAATCTTGATTGAAAAAAGTCAAAAATGGACAAATACTCAGAAACGGAGGAAGTAAGTTTTAATTTCTAATGCAGTACTTTTGTTCAATGCACACACCGAATATTGTTCATGTAAATGTCAATCGTTATTAGACATTGTTCAAATACTATTTAAAAATAAAAAATTTTAAATACTACATTGCAAAAAAAATATTTATTTTAATAATATTTGATGCAAATTTCACTATATATGAACTATGTTTAGATGAAATAAGAAAGAAAGAGTGTTTAATCGAACACAAAATAATTATAGGAATCACAATCACAATTCTTGAGATATTTTCAGCTGGGCTTTTAATTTTATTTAAGCTTCAAGCTCAAGTCTTATTTTTATTCCAAACCCCAAAAAAAAAAACGAAATTGCAGCGTTGCGTCACTTGCGTGTATAGCCCGGGTCTAACCCATTATCTTTCCAGCATTTCAATACCCTATCCATCTCATAAAAAATCACAATAAAATCATCAAAATTATTTTTAAAAAAAAGTAAAACAATCTGGTTTACAATTACTTTGAAAGAAAGAAAAATAATACTCCGAATGAAAATGAAAAATTGATTTTTTAAAGAAAATATGATTCTTTTTAGACATATACATCGTCATGGATAACAAAGTTTGAATGAATCTATTTTCAATCTAGTTTATTTGAACAATGATATTTTTTGAGCACTTTATATAATGATATTAAACTTCAAAAAAAGTTATATGTCAAAAAAATTATATCGAAGTATCTATAAAATAAGAAGTGGTATGAATGTTTAATTTTAACATATAAAAATGAAAATAAGTAAAAATAAAGAAAAAATGAGATAAGTTAGTTTGTACGTAACGCATAATTCGAGATGAAGAAAGTAATTAAATGAAAGGCTAATAACATGCTTAAAATCTTAAAAGCAAAATTGGTTATTACTAAATACGGAGTATTACGTACTTACACTTCATACACAATCAATTTTAGCATTGATTCCACATATGTATTAACTGATGCGTCCGAAAATGTTAGAGCCCGGGGCGCCATGGGGCGTTTAATGCCTCCTTGGCGTTAAACAACGCCCCCCTTGGGGCATCATCCGGGCGTCACTGCGTTGCCTCAAACGTCTGACGCAATTATTCTCCTCCTCCCCAATGGCTAATTTAGCCGTTACACCTTTAAAAAAAAATTTAATTAATTTTTTTATACAAATCAAATAATAGGTGTCAGAAAAATTTTTCGAAATAAGAGATGTCAGAAATATTTTATTTCATCAAATAATTAATGAAACCGTACAAATGAACAAAAAATTCTGTGATTGTTGGAAAAAGGATATGTGATAAACATTTTGGGACAGAGGGTGTAAGACATGAAAACCTTTAAATACTTTAATCACGCCAAGGCCAGCTTCAAAGAATTAGAGGTTCGACACAACATAAAGAAAAAATATGTCATTGTGTCATAATGAAGTAAAGTCTATCATTTAATAATTTAATAACAATTAACATTATTGTAATACGAATGATAAAATGTCAAATTCATAGTATATGTATACAAAAACACGAGTAAATTTCATAAATGATCGATAATTATAGATAATTTTTCATATTTAGCCTCCAATTCTAAAATAATATTCTCTTCATCCTAAGATGATCTTCTCAGTTCGGTTTACGATGTTTGACTGAAATTATTTTTAATTCAATTTATTCGACTATAGATGTAAATTTAAAAAATGAAAATTATATATTTCAAAACAACATAAAAAATTCTACAAATAAGAGGTGACATGACTATATTATTTTATCAAATAACTAACGAAAATAGGTAAAGAAAGTGATGAAAGTTTGATATGTGAATAATGACTGAGAAGATCATTTTAGGATTGAGAGAGTACATAAATCACCCTCAAGTTGTGAAAAAAATTTCATAATTGGTCCTTCAGAAACTATTTCTGGAAATAAATATAGGGAAAAATTTGGTCACACTTTACTTAAATGACTATTTATGGAATAGTTTTTCAAAAATTGAGGTCTACTTATGTAATATCTTAAAACTGAGGATTAAATATAGAAAACACATGTACCCCGTAGTAATTATGGAGCATTTATAGAATTTACTCAAAAACATTTTACATTTTGCATTTTCCTACTTGTAATTTTTTTTAAATATCTACTCCGTATTTCAGATTTACGCTGTAAGAGATAGAGGATTTGAATGTCAATCAAGTTACCAATACACTTGTTAACTAGTGTCATTTACGGCACTTTAGTCTTTTTATTTACTTTTGTGGAGGATATATTTCTTTTGTATGGAAAAAATTTATTTTTATAATTCATACAAAGGATTTATTAAGCTTCAATTTAATAAAAATTTATTAAATTTTTTATCTCTTGTAACGGCTTTTTTACCTGGTGCCTAAGAAATCTTAAGAACGAGCTGGGCATGCTCGTAAATAACAAAAAATGATGATTAAAATTTGTTTAGAATAATAAGAAATATTATTATTTACATGTAATTTTTCAAAAAAAAAAGAAGAAGAATTAATGTGTGTAAAAAAAATAAATTTAATTTCAAGAAACAAATGGGAATACATAAATTTCTATATTATATATCTGAACGTATGGTACTTATTATACATCCACATATAAATATTTTGTAAATTACACAATATTCATATTGCTCATTTTATTTACTTCTTCCACCATAAAAACGGAGTGTGTGGTTAGCTTTTCCCCGTTTTCCATCGCTTTCTTCCATGCAATCAGACATTTAATTTTTAACCGAATTAAGAAAAATTAAAATTCCCACTTAACTTTTGTTTTTTAGTAGTCCCACACTCCCACTTAACTTTACTTGTTTTCAGTTTTCGTCTTATAATGGCATTGGGCTGAATAATAAGTTTGTACTTTCCTTCTTGGTTTATTATAATTATGTCAAATTTTCTATATTTTTGTCAATTTAAATATTCATTTATGGTATGTTTGGGAACACGGATTTGGATTTCAAATCCAAATTTGGCTTAAATTTCATATTTGGGAAACTTAAGCATTTTGAATTTGGATTTGAATCAAATTCTTTACATTCAAAATAATGCTTAATTTGAAATCCATGCACTTCTCCTTGTCATTTGAAATTCAGGATTTCAAATTTTGGAATTGAAATGCATGAATTAAAATGAAATGCTAGTTGCCAAACACTATCTTAAGGAAATCAAATTGTCGTGTCATTTCATATATTTTATAATTTTTAAATAGCTTTTAAAAACTTTTAATTTAATCCTTTTATTGTATAAATTTTTTATGATAAATTTAATTCGAAAGAATTTTTAGTTAAATATCATAAACCAAAATGAGCTGACAAAAAAACATAAAATTGGATAGATGAAGATCAGACATTGTAAAAAAATCATTATAATTAAATATCGCAGAATTTTGCAACGTTGTTCAAAGTATAGAATTTTTGTTTTAAAGGAGGGAGTATAACATTATTTTGTGACACATGTTTTCTATATATGTTGAAATTAGTGGTTTATGTTCATTTTGTGATTTGGGTGTGTTTTAGCATTATTGTTGAACACCGTAATGACATTACATTGAATTTAGGGATGAGAGAGTCTTTGCGTGACCCACCACAGCCAGCATTTAATTAGGCAACACACGCATCTCAACCAGCTACTATTAATTAATATCTCGGGTTTATATATATATCAAGCTAATTAATTTTAAATACTTCCTAATAATTATAATGTAATAATAAATTCCCTTTATTTGAATTGGCAGAAGGAAAACAAATATACATTATTATCATTAATTATATAAACAAAGAAGTTATTAAGAAGTTTGCAATGGAAAAGGAGGGCAGAAAGATGGATTATGATAATAAGGGGAAAAAAGATGGAGAAAAATGGGTTTATGATTCCTCTGTGGATAGCAAAGGAAGAGTTCCTCTCAGAGCTTCTACTGGCGTCTGGAAAGCCTCCTTCTTCATCATCAGTATGTACTTTAATAATTAATTAAGCTAAATTAATAAGCTAGCTTCTCTTTAGTTAATTTAAATGGGTTTATTTTGAAACATAATTTTGAAATATCCACGTTATGTATGTGTATTTATATTAAAGATATTGATGGTACGGTCAAATTAAAATATTGCATTGAAGATCGATCATATGGTAAAATTTGTTTGTTGGTGAAGTAAAGTAATAGAGTTTGCTGAGAGGCTGAGCTTCTTCGGAATAGCGACGAATCTGATAACATATCTCACGAGAGTGATGCAAAATGACCTGAAAACCGCCGCAAAGAACTCAAACTACTGGACGGGGGTCACGACCGTGATGCCGTTGGCCGGCGGCTACCTAGCCGATTCCTACACCGGCCGCTTCTTCGTCATCGTCTTCTCTTCCTTCTTGTACCTCATGGTATGTATATATGTACCTACTTAGTTGCTATCTGATCATTTTTCCTACGTTCAAAGAAAATAATTTTATCTCATTTTTCTCATCAAAAAATGAAGAATTTGGTTTTCTCTCTCTTTGAACCAAACATAGTAGTGTAAGGGGCTGTTTGTTTCAGCCTCTTAATGGTTCAGATATCTGAATGATTCAACATTTAATGGTTCAGACTGTTTGTTTCAGCCTCTTAATGGTTCATATGTCTGAATGGTTAAGAGATTTGCCTCTGAATGGTTAAGTATTATACAGAGTCTGAATGGTTAAGAGCTCTTATCTAAATTGATCAGACATTTGCCTCTGAATAGTTAAGCAATATACTAGCTCTTAATGGTTTAGACCTCTTACTGGTTCAGCACTTAATGGTTCAGACCTCTTACTGGTTCAGCACTTACCTATTCAGAAGTTGTCAAACAGCTCCTAAGTAAATGTAAAATGAAAAAAAATACTGTAATTTGTTTTTGGGTAATTTACTTAAATAAGACTAAGACATATACGATCATATGTTTTTATTTCCAAATGTAGGATCATTGGTCATTATCTATTAGTCATTATGCAACTAAATGTCCAGCGTCACTTGGATATTATTCTTCTCACTAGTCAGTATTAAGTCTTATTTAAGGAATAAAAAAAATTAAGTCCTACTTTGGAAAATGACTTATGTTTTAGTTCTATTCCGTGCAAATTTCACTTTTTTTTTGAAGTAGAATGTATTTTCCAGAATTTATTTTCTATCTTTCCAAACGGAGCCTAGCCTTATTGTTTCAGGGACTGAGTCTACTCACAGCCACACAATTCATCCCCGGACTCAAATCATGCAACCTTCCAAACTGCCGCGGCGGCGGCCGGCCGCCGAGGAGGGCGCACAAGGCCGCCTTCTACCTGGCAATCTACCTAATATCTCTGGCGACGGGAGGGTTCAAGCCGTGCCTGGAGAGCTTCGGGGCGGACCAGTTCGACGACAGCCACCGGGAAGAGAGGAAGCAGAAGATGTCCTTCTTCAACTGGTGGAACGTCTCCCTCTGCTGCGGCCTCTTGCTCGGAGTCACCGTCGTGTCTTACCTGGAGGATTACGTCGGCTGGGGAGCCGCCGCCGCCGTCCTCACCGCCGCCATGGGGATTTCCACTCTGGTTTTCTGCTCCGGGCGGCCGTTTTTCAGGTACAGGTTCGCCGCCGGCAGTCCCTTGAGGCCCTTGTTTCAGGTGATCGTCGCAGCCATTGCGAAGAGGAAGCTCGATCATCCTCCCACTCCTGAATTGCTTTATGAAGTTGAGAAATGTAAGAATCCCACAACCAGGCTTCTCTCCCACACCAACAGTCTCAGGTAAAAAAGAAACCATCTAAAACATAAGGTTTATTATGAAAATAAGAATTTCATGTTTTTATCACCATAATAGAAGTTTGTATTGTGACATTATAACATTGTATAACGACATTTTAGTGTATTTTTGGTACTATATATTGACATTATTGATATTGTACTATAGATAGAAAACATTGAGCAACTGGCTTCCGTTCACTATGCATTGTTACTGTCTATTTGAGACACTTAATTACGATATTCTGTTCGCAAAATTGATTGTTCTCTTTACTCAAAGTCCACTAATTTTCTCGAGTGCAATTGAAAGGGGATAGGGGTGGGTTCAAGTCAGGCGGGGGTGAGGATTTTACCTATGGATTAAGGGTTAAGGACCATAAAATTTGATGAATAAGTATCATAGGTACCCTAATTGGAGTTAGTGTCATCCAGAGCCACTCAATGTTAGTGGCTCTACCTATACCACTCAATGTTAGTCGCTCTAGAACCCCACGGATGTTACAAATATCACCTGCAATATTTTTTTTAATATCAAAATAAGACTTATAGTCCCAAATAATGTCATTACATAATGTCAAATTGTGACATTTCAGAGTGGTAACACTCCTATTTACTTGTTACAACAGAAAGAAGAGACACATTGTGGTTGGATTAATTGATTGATGAGTAGTTACCAATGAATGAATTGTGCAGGTTTCTTGACAAAGCAGCAATCATGGAAGATGATGTTGAAGCCATTACTAGTAAGAAACAGAGTCCATGGACGCTGGCAACAGTGACTCAGGTTGAGGAGACCAAACTGGTACTGAACATGGTTCCCATCTGGCTAACCTCCGTGATGCTCGGAGTCTGCATGTCCTTCGGCTCAACCTTCTTCGTCAAGCAAAGCACCGCCATGGACCGCCACGTGGGCCCCCGCGTGGAGATCCCACCGGCGAGCATCTACGCGCTCTCCGCCGTCGGCCTCCTGCTGTCCGTCATCGCCTACGAGAAGGTCCTCGTGCCCGTCCTCAGGAAACGGACGGGCAACGAGAGAGGCATCTCGATTCTCCAGAGAATCGGGGTCGGGCTCGTCCTCAACGTCGTGGGAATGACGATCGCGTCCGTGGTCGAGAGAGAGAGGGTGATGAGAAGTAGTAGGGGTGCTCCGTCCATGAGCGTCTTCTGGCTCACGCCTCAGTACATGGTTCTTTCCATCGGGGACGGTTTTAGCCTCGTCGGGCTGCAAGAGTTCTTCTATCATCAGGTATTCATAGGGGGACGGGCCAAAACAAGGTTGTTTTGACGGTGTTTTAAAACCCCTTGGTTCCCATGACATTGGTTGACATTGGGAACCAATGTCATGGGATGACCCGGGGGTGCTCTGGTGCCCCGTTCGTAAAATTGACAGTTCCTACTCCGGTAAATCCCCCCACCCTTCCCTGACCCGAACACACCCCCCACCCCCTTCAAAATTAACTTGGGGGGTGCAATTGAAGGGGGTGGGGGGTGTGTTCGGGTCGGGGCAGGGTGGGGGTATTTACCGGGGGGTTAGGGGGGTAGGAACCATCAATTTTACGAACGGGGCACCGGTGCACCCCCGAGTCATCAAAATATCAGTCTAAATTTTTTATTAACATTTTCTATCAGTGTGAACTACCGTTAAAATGTCGGTAATTTCTTTGGGGTACATTTTTGGTGATACCATGTACTATTCCCACCTTTTATCCTAGAAATTCCTTGGTACGCTATTGCTCAGGTTCCCGATTCGATGCGGAGTTTAGGGATGGCATTTTACCTCAGCGTGCTCGGAGTCGGGAGTTTCCTGAGTAGCTTCTTGATATCGGTTGTGGATAGGGTGACCGAGAAGCGCGGGGGGAGTTGGTTCGGGGCGGATATGGACCGTAGCCGGGTAGACAAGTTCTACTGGCTGATCACCGCCATGACTGCACTGGATTTGTGCTTGTATCTCTTCTTTGCACATAGGTACACTTACAAGAATGTGCATGCAAATTTGGATGATGATGATAATGGATACCTTCAAATGACAGATTCTGCTGAATGAGAGGGAAAAACAGTGATATTTATATGTGTTTGTGTTTGTGTGTTTTTAATTTTGTTGTGTTTTTGTGTTATAAGAGGTTTGTATGTAATAAATGCAGTTAGAAAGGGAAATGGTCTATAGCATCAAGACATACACGAGATCAAAGTCAACATCATGGCTTATTTGCAAATAAACATTGAATTAAGTTGAAAAGGCCACATTATGAAATTTGTTGGCTCCTTTTACCTTTTCTTGAATCCTGAATAACAATTTAAATTAAAATATCTAATTTTTTTAGTATTTAAATTTTTTTTTTACTCTCTCAAGTTTCTCATGTGCCATAAATGAAAAATGTTAAAACGAGTACTAAAAAATACGTACAAGAGAAAAATATTTTAATAAGAGCCAAACATAGTTGTTTTCTTTTAAAAAATAACATATAAGTATTTTACATATTTCAAAAATAAACGAGTATATTCAAAAAAATATACGAGTATCTTTTTTTAGACAAGATCAAATTAGAACAAGATCACGCCCTATACCGATTTTGAAATCCTACCCGCTAAGGGGACTTTGAATTTACTTATTTGAATCTTCTCTACTTTTTAAAATCTTTATAAATTTATTTATAAATAAATTCTTAAAATGATATTCAATAACTATGCATTTTTTGAAATTAGTTCCCAAAATTAATTAATTGAAAATAATGCTCAGTTCAGTTTCCAAATTATTCTAATTTTTTACAACAAAAGAGTCTTCATTTTCCCCAATTTCGGGAAATCAGCAAATGAAAAATTTAAGCCTATAAAATCGAATGATCAAATCGATCAAATACACCGTTATTCACTAGATCAAGTCGCTGAAAAAATTCAAAATCATCTGGAGGCATAAATGCACTCATAGTTATACTCTCACTCGCCGCCGGTATCCACCGCAGAACCGCCGATGAGTTCCACGGTTTCAATCAAGACACTGTTGGCCGCCAGCGGCGGCGACACCTTGAAGCTTTTTGACCTATCGCTGGAGCCTCGGGATACATGCATTCTCTCCTACACTCCCACGCCGGGATTTCAAGTTAATTCCGTCAAGTGGAACCACACCAGTGGGTACCTCTAACTATTTGCTCTCGCTTTCTTTCCGATTCATTTTGTGAAATTTTTTGATTTCTTCACAAGTCTGTGTTTGAATTTTTGAATTCCGGGTTGTTCTAGATTTGGTGGTCGCAAGTGCTGGAGATGACAAGAGGATATCTCTGTGGAGAAAGAACGGCCAGTCAATTGGGACAATTCCGGCAGCAGGAAGTGACTGTGGTGATGGTATCGAGGTAGTTTTTACTGGTTCTGTTTATTATAGATCATGTGAAACTATGGATTTTAGCTTCGTACCTGCACTTAGCAAATGTGCTTGTTGGGTAATTTTTTATAATGGGACATAACATTATTCAAACAAAGCCATATGGCATTTACAACCAAGACTCGCTCGAAGCAAATACAAAATTTATGAAATCAAAACAATCAATCTTCCTTACACATTGTGGATAAAAACTCTTCTGAACACCTTCATTGTAATCGATGTCCTATTGTCTTTGCATCTTTCCATACTAACGTGAGCCCTCTCGTGGAAGATAAGATTATTTTGATCCAGAAAATTGCATCTAAGACGAACAAACTTGTGGATCTTGAAGACCATTTTTTAATCATAGGATGCAACACTCAAGTGCAAGTAGATCTTCATCCCAGTAACAACACGTAGAACGACAGGCCAAATCCAACAAGCACATTACAAAGCCAGATAGACGAACTAACTACTGGGATATACACTTCACTAGATGGGCTAGGAAGTGAATCAACACTGTGCAATGTAGTATGGGTGCACTTTTGAGGACGCTTTTCAATTTTCTGTGCCATTTGAACTAAATATCGTTTTTAAATCAAAGAAATGTGTGTTTATAAATTTTGTTTCTAAATCAAAGATATGTGTGTTTATCTAGCCTTTTATTTGGTTTAGTAAAGAAATATATAAGAGAGAAGCAGTAGAGAAATATGGTGGATTCTGTTTGTTGTTTGTTAGGAGAGATGTTGTTTGTTAGGAGACAAAGGGAGAAGAAATAGGTGGAAGTTGAGAATGAATGCATTTCTCATGTATTTTGATCAAGCAAATTTATTTTATCCATTTCCTGGAATTTTATTGTAAATATGTGCAAGAAAATATTTCCTGTTGTTGTATGGAACATTATATGTATATCACTACAGGAATCCATTGCCACCATCAATTTCAACAACAAAGGGTCTAGGTACCTTTGTTCTGGGGGAAGTGGTCAAATTGTTAGAATCTGGGATTTGCAGCGGAAAAGATGCATTAAATGGTTGAAAGGTCACAGTGGCACAATAAGTGGTGCGACGTATAACTGCAAAGATGAGCACTTAGCTTCTATAAGCCTTAATGGGGATCTTATGCTTCACAACCTTGCTTCTGGTGCTAGAGCTGCGGAACTCAAGGATCCTCATGGGCAGGTCGCTTATGATGAATTATCAATTTTTTTTATACCTTTTATGGTACAACCTCTCTACTTTCGAGTAGGGGCAAGGTCTGGATACACACACACCCCTAGACCCTACTTTGGTGGGATTCAATTGGGTTGTTGTTGATGATGAATGATGATGATGCTTTTATGGTAATCTCATTTATCTTCTGATGCTTTAGATTTTATTTTGATGATTCAATGGCAGGTTCTTAGAGTGCTTGACTATTCAAGGACTAGTAGACATTTGTTGGTTACAGCCGGTGATGATGGATCTATTCACCTTTGGGACACTACTGGTCGCACCCCTAAGGTTTGTATTTTTGACATCTTGATGCATCCCTCCCACCCCCCCACCCCCACAATGGGACAAAGGACGGAGGGCGTTGGACACATTAAAGAATACTAATTTTACATAAATAACAATAATTTTATCACGTGTCATCTCGAAACATTGCTATATGTTTTAAATATAGGGGTTAGGCTGCATACATCCGACACCCCTTACTCCGCAATGGGGGGGATAAGGAGTTAGAATGCTATAATTGATATTATTGCTCCAATGCTCCCCCAGCATTACTGACCAGGCACACACAACAATTCATCCGCTCCCCCCACTCCACATCGTATACTTGCAATCCTGATACCCAACAAAGGTTAGGAACTAAGTGGTTTTTTCGATTCTTCTTAGAGAAGCTTAGTAATGTGTTTCGTGACAACATGAGAATTGAATTTTTTTTACCACTTACAATTAGGGATTCTTTTATTCCAGTCTCCAGTTTTGATGAAGTTGTAAAATGGAATGAATCTCAGAGTGAGGTGTCTTAACCCTTGCGTAGGTTAGAAGGGATAAGGAGTTAGAATGGTATAATTGATATTACTGCTCCCCTAACATTCCCGACCAGGCACAAACAACAATTCATCTGCTCCCCCCCCCCACTCCATGCCGTATACTTGCAATCCTCAAACCCAACAAAGGTTATGAAGTAAATGGTTTTTTCGAGTCTTCCTAAAGAAGCTTAGTGATGTGTTTCGCGACAACATGAGAATTGAATTTTTGTTACCACTTACAATTAGGGATTCTTTTATTCCACTCTCCAGTTTTGATGAAGTTGTAAAATGGAATGAATCTCAGAGTAAGGTGTCTTAACCCTTGTGTAGGTTAGATCCTTCCAGATGATGAAACTTCTTTTTTTTTAATGGATTTTCACAGGCTTCTTGGTTAAAGCAACATTTGGCCCCAACTACTGGCATTAGTTTTTCGCCATCAAATGATAAGGTTTTGTTTCCCTCTCATTTCAGTTACACATTTCACAATGCAATATTGTTGTGCTGAAGAGATAAATATCATTACAGAGCTAAAACCGTGCCTGTTATTTATCTGATTGTGATTCAACACTGTGGCAGATTATCACTAGCGTTGGTTTGGATAAGAAGCTGTACACTTTTGACGTAGGGTCTAGGCGCCCAGCATTTTTCATTCCTTATGAGGCACCGTTTTCTTCACTTTCATATACAGATGATGGATTAACACTCGCAGCTGGGACGAGCAGTGGCCAGATTGCATTATATGATATTCGTGGGAAATTACAACCTTTGACTGTTCAACGCGCCTATGGACATTCTGAGGTGATAATTCTTTATTTGAAGATTATCATCCAATGTAAAGTAATGAGTTCAAGTTTGCAAAAGTTAAGAGTGTTTTCAAATTTAGGGCCCGCTTGGTTAATGTTATTTTGCTGAAATGACTGAGTCTGCTCATGTTGGTAAGCTGAATAAGTCAGATAAGGGTAACAAACAGAGTCTTAAATGATTACTCATAAACCTGTTAGCGATGTGAGAGAAAACAATTCTGCTAACCATATGGAATAAACTACTGTATGTTTTTCTGTTTATTCTAATGAAATGTTAAGTTCTGTTCTTTCTTGTTGATATAAACCTCCATGCTGCTTTGAATGGAATTCTTTTTTTCTCCTCACGGGAAATTTCTCAATTTTTTTTCCCTTAATCAGGCTGTCACCAGTCTATGTTGGCAAAGATCAAAGCCTATTGTCGTAAATGAAAACAACTGCACCCCTGATATAGCTCTTTTGGGAACTGCAGTTGAGGATTCAGTCTTAATGCCTGATCCACTACCTGCACTTACTTCATCAGCCCTTTCAACATCCACAGCAGTATCAAACTCCCGAAACCCTGGTCGTTCAGGTCCATCTGTGGACCCATTACCTTTTCTACCAGGAGGTAGTGTGCCCGCCTCGAGCTCACTCTTTACACCTGAGGAATCGCCGGTTAGAAATGATTCGTGGAAGGGTGGCGGAGCTTTAGGGAGACTACATGCTCCTCGTTATAATATTAAAGATGATATGGAAGTGTTCTCTCCACTTGTTGATGTTCAACCAATGACACCATCAATTGATAAGCTATGGGATGAGCATGGCATTGTAAAGAATGATAGTGAGAAGAGCACATCATTTTCATTCCCTTCTGCTAGGAGGTTCCCTCTACTAGATGAAGGCGGGACTGATAAGCCATCAGCATTTGATTGGAAATCTAGTTCAGTATCCAATAAGGTTCGTGCGTTGCCTTTCACGTGCATTTACATTATCCTCTGTTTGGATGAAGAGTCATAGTCTATTTTTGACTAATGTATGAGATTTTATTATAAAAATGAAAAGGTTAATATGGCACGTGGTTGTGTAACTTGTTAATAACTTTTTATTCACTTTTAGAATCACTCTATTTTCTCTGCCCCCAAAAAGTGAGTTTCAAGAACTTAGGGTCCGTTTGGTACACGGAATTAATAGAATTGGAATTGAATTGGAATTAAAATTCCATGGGATTCAATTCCATAGAATTGAATTCACCAATTCCAATTCATTTTTTGCACTACCAATTCCAAATCCACATAATTTTTGTGCTACCAAACACGAGAATTGGAATTGAAGTCCTCAATTCCAATTCCATAGTTTGAATTCCGTGTACCAAACGGGGTCTTATTGTGTTAAAAACGTGTCCATTTTTAAGAGTCAAATTTACTTGCAAGTGAACTCTGTATGGTCAAGCTACAAGCAAGTATAGTAAATCCTAGGTGTGTAATTGACCTTTCATACTTTGTAAAAATATCTACCTCGATCGAGTTGGCTGAAAATAAGTAGTTGTACCTTACGCATAGAGAACTCTTTGTTTGCAGGCGGAGGAGTATTTATCAAGATACAAGCTAAGCCCTCCAAATTCCTTCATCTGCATGAGGGTTTTGGGAGGCTTAGTCAATATTTTGATGTGTGTGTGCGTGAGTATTTGAGATTTCATAGAAATTGAAAGGTTAACACAATATATATAATCACATAACATTTTAATCACCTTTAATTTGTTTTTAGAAACATTTTGTTCATCAAGATATAAACTAAGCCCCTCTAAAACTCCTCCATCCAAATAGATACTTAGAATAAAATCATTTTGTGCTGGACAATATTCTTAAATGCATGTGCCAGTCCTGCAGGATGACATCCGTTCTCTTTCACACTTGCCTTCTGCTGCACCTACTGTATCTTCCCAGCCTGATGCCTCTTTATCAATAACTCCTCCGGAAGCTTGGGGTGGTGGTGAGAGATTTTCTGACAGGGCCCACCTTCGTCAATCCCGGTTCGCAGTGCCCACTCCCAGTAGCCTTGCATCCGGAACAATATTTTCTGCATTACAAAATACTTCATCATCACTCTCCAGCCTGAGCTTGGATAGTTTGCGTGTCAGGGAAATTTCAAAGGAAGTAACTTCTTCTTCAGAAGCTCCAGAAAATGTCCCCTCAAGCTCTGCTCCTTTTTCCTTTGCCACAAGAGGCTTAACTGGACAGGGTAGTCTGGACTCTCTTGGCCCAGCATTACCATCCATTCCTCGGAAAGTTTCCAGTTATGCAGAGAGAATAAGCAGTATCAGTGATGGGACACTGTCGGTTGGTTCACCCAAAATTAAGAAAACCGGAGCTGAAACGAGGGATGAGCTTTTACAGAGCTTATTGTCAAGGCCTGATGTTTCTTCATCACCCAAAGCAACCAGTGTTTTCCAATCAATGAATGTAAGATGCAAATATGATGTTTAACTTTTATCCTTGTGTTTCTTTTAACTCTTAGAATTATACTCTCTTCGTCCCTAAAAGAAGTTCTCGTTTGCTTTATCACAAATTTTTATAAAATAGTGTTGGACAGTTGTTTACAGACCCAGGCTCTGTTTGGTTGTTACCGGAAAATGTTTTTTCTTGATTCCTAAATTCCTTACATAAAGCCTAAATGGTGACTTTAGTTTTGTAACACGGCTACATTTTGAAGGTACCTCTGAAAAACAACGTTTCTCTGCCTGATAGTCAGCAGCAGCAGCAGCAGGGAAGTTCATTTTCTCTCCAGCTATATCAACGCAGTCTTGAAGAAGCGCTCGAGGCAGCCCTCAAACCCGTTCTCGCGGCCATTAGAGACCTGCACATTGATCATTTAAGAGAATCTCACATGCGCGACGTAAGAATGGTGTGTTACTAATGATTTCATAAAAAATTCTCTCGCAGCATTTTTATTAGAGTAAATTCCATAAATGGTCTTTGATTACATGTTCATTTCCATATTTAGTCCCTAATTCTTAGATATTCAATAAACGGTTCTCAATTTTTGAGAACTATTCCATAATCGGTTATTCAAGGACTATTTGTTGAAAAAATATTTTGACATATTTGGCCTAAAGGACTATTTATGGAATAATTTCCAAAAATTAAGGATCATTTATGGAATATATAAGAATTGAGGACTAAACATTGAAAACCACATGTAATTAGGGGCCATTTATGGAAATTACTCTTTTTATGATGATGATGATGGCACAGTCAATTCAGTTTAGAATATAAGTCAGTTTAGATGATTTGAATGAAATGTGTGTGGGCAGGCTGAACTGGAGGGCGAGATTAAAGCACTCCGGGAAAATCAAGCGGAGCATTTGAGACAATATCAGTTAATTAGCAAAGAAAATCAAGAACTCCGCCAACACTTGTTTTGATTGGTTTAGGAGGACATATCCTCTGTCCCAAAGGTAAGATCTCAACTATTATAGTTGGACGAGATATGTTCCTAGAAAACTGGAAGGGTGTTTTTGAATGTTCAATACTCTTTCTCTATCTTCTTTTTTTTTATCCAAGTTGCCAATTGTACTTTCTCTTTTTATAATTTTAAGTTTCTAATTGTGTTCATTCCCTGCAACAATTCAAGCAAAGAGTGTTCACTAACCAATTCAAACCAATACATCACTATGCATACTTGGAGTAAAATTGAGTGAGGAAATAGTACTACCATATATTGTGTGTATAGAAGTCTTCAACTCTTACCACTCACATCCCATTTTGTTAACCTTTTCCTCTTTGCTTACTACTCCGTAGTTGTTTTTAGTTTGAACAAAAAACTCATAAAAAGCACTTTTTCTTCTTTGCTTATTAGTTATTTTTGGTTTACATAGAAAAGCTTATATAGTAAGCGTAGTATATTAATCACATTCCAAATGTGCACTAAGAGCATGAACAATGGTAAGTCGAAAATGGAATGCCACACGGTGACATGGAACATTTTAACCAATCAAAAATAGTCTAGTCAGCGTGTGGCAAGTGCATGGAGTGACAAGTTCTACAATGGCAAGTCATTATTTTTAATCATTTTTTTACATTTTTTTATGTTTTTTAAACATAAAAAAATATTTTTATTATTTATTTTATTAAAAAATTATTCTACTTTCTTGTACATTTTTTTTCATAAAAAATTTTTAAAAAAAATTGTTTAAAAAAAAGAAAAAGAAAGGATGGAGTGCCACACTCATGCCTCACCAAACAAGGCATTTTGGCCTTGCCATGCCATGATAAGAGTGGAAAAAGCTGATGTGGCAGTGCAAGACATTCCTCTTCCTTGCCACTGCACATGTTCTAAGCACCTACACATGCCTTGCTAATTTTTAGGGCATTACTTTTTTGGAGGGTTCTCATCACATTGGAACTCCATGTCATGGGATGACCCGAGGCCGCTATGAATCATACGATGCCCCGTCCATAAATTTGATGGTTTTTACCCCCCGGGAAATCCCCCACCCCTTCAATTGCATCCCCAAGTTAATTTGACTTTGGAGTTGAAATTTTGACTCTAAAGTCAAATTAACTTGTGGGTGCAATTGAAGGGGGTGAGGGGTGTGTTCTGGTCGGGCTGGGGTGGGGGTTGGGAGGTAGGAATCGTCAATTATACAAACGGGACACTGTAGCGGCTCCGGGTCATCTTATGATATGGCCCATATGGGGTTCCACTGTCATGGAAACCCCTCTGTTATTTTTTATGATCATATAGTTTAAATTGTTGGGTGGGGACATGAGGTTCTCATGACATTGAAATCCAATGCTATGAAATGACATTGGCTCCAAATAGAACATCTGCAGTGGCCGGTTCTTAAATTTGATAGTTCTTACTCCTTTTTCGAGCCAATGTCATTCTATAACATTGAAATTCAATGTCATGACTCATGAGAATCGAGTTTCAATGTATATTTGATTTCATATTTTATACTCAGGCTAAAATTTGTCCATTTGGGGAACGTATGATTTTTTTGTTGAGCTTGAAAATTATTCTTACCCTTGTAAACCTTTAAAAATCCCATTTTTCCCCTACAATCACCTTAGTCCATGGGACCTATAGTATCCGATTTGTAAAATAGATGATTTTTATCTTCCAGTAAACCTCCGACTTTGGCCCGACATGGAACCGCCTCACACCTCACTCTCCGGTCGAGGCCAATTGAGTCACGACGGGCCAATGGGGGGGGGATCTTGGTGGCTCCACTGGTCTTCCGTCAAAATACAACTCAGAGAGAGACAGGGGATAAATTCCAACCGATCTAACTTCACTTTTGCAGAGCATATAATAACTGGAGATACTCTGGAATTGATCACTTAAGCTGTGGCAAAGTCCAAATACAGCTATATAACATGCACATATATATATTATTATGCCAATTATTCCCCCACCCTTGCATGCATGTGCAGCTGTAAATTGCAAAGCCATAAGTTCCATTTTGACACCCAAAACCTTATACCATATACCCCATGGAGAAGAAGAAATATAATGAACCATATATAGATGCCCCCTCTTACTTCATTACCTTCATGTCGTGAAAGTTTTGACTTAAAACGGATAATATATCGTAGTAATGTTGAATTACAGATTTACAGTAACGTAATGCTGATCAATATTAATAGGATCAGGATTAGTCATCATAATTCACAGATTTAATCTTTGTGAAGTTAAATGGGGCAAATTTCTTTTCTAGGTTTCAAATATATTTGTTCATTTTAACTTGATAGAGATTAGTAAAAGATGCTTAATAGTGAAAAATAAATGCTCAAAAGTTATTTAATGAAAGATGCCCAAACAGAAATGACATACTCCAATTATTTTAATGGAAGGGAATAAGGAATAACTAAAGGTGTGTGTGTATATATATATATATATATATATATGTATGTATGCATGTATGTATATATATATGTTTGTGTGTGTGTGTGTGATGTATTGCTGATGGGGATTTATACTATGCTCCATCCACCACATTAAATTTCTTGTTCCAAAAAGTGAAATTGCTCCCGCCGGATGCTTCTCATCCCCTGTCTCTCTGTCTGATGAAAATGTGTGAAGATGTGAATCATCTGACAACATTTAAATTCTTCAAAATATACCGAAATACAGCACTCCGTATTTATTTAATTGTATTTGTTAATCAAATCATTGAAGTGATTGATATGCACAATAATAGTAATATAGAACGAAAGAGCTCCTCAATAAAAAAACAAAATTGGATATATGAGTTATGCTCTATAGTCTATACATGCTTTTTTTAAGGAATGCTCTCATACCAAATATACCAGGTAATATTTTGATTTTATAAAATTTAAAATATATCAGATCATCAACTAATATTTTTTTTCTTTTTTTTTCTTTCTTAAAATTTAAGAAAAATAGTATATTGGAACATCTTAGAATAGAGCTTCTTGGTTTTTGCTGCCACTTATTTTTAATTTTTTTTGATATTTTATTATGTACATTCTCTGTCATTAAATACTTTTCTTTCTTTTTTTTTTGTCTGTCCCAAAATAATACGAAGTGTTTAAATTTTTTAAAAATGATGTGTCTAAAAAAGTTTATCACTTATCTCTGATCATAAGTTCACAATTGCTAATTACTCATCAAACTTAGGCTCCGTTCCGTTCAACTTATTTTTTCTGATCTGATCTGATTCTAATAAGTTCTGATCTGATCTGATCTGATTGGATCTGATCTGGTCTGGTCTGATCTGATTGGATCTGATATGATCTGATTGGATCTGATATGATCTGATCTCGTCTGATCTGATTAATTATGATTTAATTTAAAATTTCAAATCAATAATTTAATTTGACTTTATAATAACGTTTGAAAATTGTAATGATAATTCATGTTATAATATAATCAATATTTTTTATTTAATGATTATTTTTTAATAAAATAAAAATAGTTAATTCATATATTAGAATAATCATTCATATTATAATGTAATAATATTTTTTATTTTATGATTATATTTTTGTAAAATTAGAATTATACATTAAAATAAATATTGAATTTAGATATACATTAAAAAGTAATTAAATTTAGATAATCAATATATAGAAGAGATAGTATTTTTAATAAAATATCTCATCCTTATAAAAGATCAAAAGTTTAGAAACTTAAATTACAAGTAGCAATAAAAATATATTTTAAAAGTAGAATTAGATTAACATTGTCAATGTATTTTAAAACTAATTTTTCCGACGTCTAATAATTAAGAATTACTTTCTCAGTTTTCTAATTTAACCTATTTCTAAAGTTTATTCTTTTTCATTTTTAAGAACAATACTAATAATGATGATGATGATGATGATGATGATGATGATGATGATGATGATGATGATAATAATAATAATAATAATAATAATAATAATAATAATTTTTGATGGGATCTGATTTTAATAAGTCCTGATCTGATCTAATCTGATTGGATCTGATCTGATCTGATTGGATCTGATCTGATCAGATTCGATCTGATCTGATTGGATCTGATCTGATCTGATTCGATCTGATCTGATCTGATTCGATCTGATCTGATCTGATCTAGTCTGATCTGATCTGATCTGATCTGATTTTAATAAGAATAAGAAAAAATAAGAAAAAATAAGTTGAACGGAACGGGGTCTTACTAATGTATGATTATACACTATTATCAGCAATTAGGCCAATCGTTATGGGGCTTGGCGGAAGTGGCGTGTCCCTTCCTCAAGCCCCCTTAGGCCTGTTCCACCGTGAAGGCGACTTTCCTCATTTTTCTATTTCAAAATCCATATCTTCACTCCATTATTTTTTGTGAGGCCTCTTTTTCAAGCCCACAACACGCATAATTTTATCACTCCACGTCATATTTCTTTATACAACGTCAAGACCGTCATGATACATGGTCTTAGTCTCCTAATTGATTTGATTTTATTTGTGTTGGAATATTAATTCAATATTTCTAAAGGTTTGTGAGAGGAAAGATTCTAGAGAATTCTAGAAGTTGGTGGAGATGTCTAAAATTCTCTAGAATGTTGTGGAATTTTCTAGAGAAGTGCAGAAGTCTCTAAAATTTGTAGAATAGTGTAAAAATTTCTAGAATTTTCTAGAGCTTTCTAGAAAAGCGTGGAATTTTCTAGAAGCGTGTGAAAGAATGTAGTGTCCTCTAGAATATTCTAGAACTATGTGGAGTCCTCTAGATTATTCTGGAACATTATGGAAGCATATGGAGACTTTGTAGAAGATTCTAGATAAAAAGAGATGTATAAAACATTCTAGAGAAGCCTAGCCTTGACGAGGAGTATAAATGAGGAGGAAGAAGAGAGTGAAGAACCAAGAGGGCTTCTTGAGAGTGCTTTTGAGTGAGGTGTGGAGAGGTGTTCCTAATATAAAGAGTGAAGTGTGCTATTCGTGTAATTGTAATATCTCTTGTACATTTTCTTTATATATTACAAAGTCATTTTCTAAAGTCATGTCTTTGTATTATTGAGTGTGTGAGAGTGTACAATAGTTTGGTTGTGTGAACTAGGGAAAGAGGTCGAGACACCCATCAATTCCTCAACAATTTGGAATCTCAAGTTAATAAATTAAGGTGTTGAAATTAAGAAGGTGTTTGGGAGTACTGTTGTAGATTGATGAAAAAATAAAAATTTTAAGAAACGAAAA